TGACTCTGTAACCGCTTAGAGAGAGCTGTAAAGCACTGTGAAGTGGTATATAAGTCTAAGTGCTATTGCTACAATCTGGAAAAGCAGATTTTCAGATTACTGAAAATCATTCCTTATTTTAAGATGCTATACCCCATATGTGTCGTTCCAGGGTACCCAAACAAATGTTTCAGATGGACTCTTCCCACCACCAACCCTGCCGCCATATTGAGAGACCTCATCTACTAACATACCTGAAATTGGTGAGAAAAAGGGAGATCACATGGATGCTATTTTCCTGCTGCCATACCCTCAGCTATTACCTAACTAAAAAACAGAGGAAAAGGAGGTTGCTGGTAATGCTGGCACTTCAGTTGACTGAAATGTTAGTTGACTTGGAGGAGGCAGTAAAAGAGGTGATTTAAAAGCTCCAGTACAGGACTCGCTGTCATCATGTGACGTATTGCAACTTTTCCCCTCCCTTCACTAAACCAGGGTGGGTGCGGCCAGTGCGTGACACATCCGGCCCACAGGCCGCGAGTTTGACACCCCTGCTCCAGTAGGTCCTACCTTATTTACTATCTTCTTCCTTTGGCACCAGTCTTTTCATGATGGCTCCTGGTGGAACTGTATCTAATCAGGTTTGTTGAACTATAAGACAAAGGAGAGTCTACGGCTTCCTAGGCCTGTACACTAGGCCTGCTATGGGAAGGGGTAAGGCAGCCATTTATTATTTGCACCTTCCCATAGCAAATAAAGAATGAAATCTCGCTCGCATTTCTATACAAAAGTGAGGAAAGACGTATGTAGAGGTAGACCTCCAGCAGCCTGATACTTGGGATGCCACCTTGTCCTCTGCCTGCTAAAGAAAAGGGGAAACTGACAAAACCCTTGTCAATTCCAATGCTGCTCAGTCTAGTGTATTGTACTGAGGGGAGCTGTAAATCCATCAAATTAGCATCCACCTTATGTGACCTGAAACCTCAGGTCTTAGGAGAGGACATGAATCAAAAATTCTCGCCAATAGGATGTGCCAGTTCAGACCGGATCGCCTGATCCAGTAGCGATGGCGGCGGGTGGTTCGGAGAACCAGTAATAAAAATCCCTGTGCAACCCCACCCCACCCCCATGCCCAGCTGAGCTGCGCGATCATCAGAGGCTGTTTTTTTTACTTTTAAAAGCTTTTTTTTTTTTCGGCCAAAAAAATGCTTTTAAAAGTAAAAAAAAGCCTCTGATGATCACGTGGCTCAGCTGGGATCGTCAGAGGCTTCTAAAAGCATTTCTACATGCTTCTAAAAGCATATAGAAAAAAAATGCTTTTAAAAGCCTCTGACGATCCCAGCTGAGCCGCGTGATCGTCAGAGGCTTTTAAAAGCATTTTTTTCTGCAACTTCTTCGGCCAAAGAGGTTGTAGGAAAAATGCTTTTAAAAGTAAAAAAAAAAGGGTGGCCACGCCCACCCAGTCACATTATCCCCCCCAAGCCACGCCCACAGAACCGGTAATAACAAATTTTAGATTTCACCCCTGGGTGTGTGTGTTTACAGTTTCAATTACAAGGCTTCAATTACATCACAGCTAAACCAGAAATAAATTAGTTCAGCTTTCCAACAACTGCACAGAATTCCAGGAACTGTGGGTGCTGCATCACTGGAGGTTTTCAAGAAGAGATTGGACAACCATTTGTATGGAATGCTATAAGGTCTCCTGCTCTAGTCCTGTTGGAAGAGAAGGATCCTTCAAGGTTCCTTCAAACCTTGTTATTCTATGTTGTATGTTCCAAACTGGTATGGCAGGACAGAGTTTAAAGGCTTTAAATTACAAGAAAGCGGAGGTCATTTGAATATTATAGGAAATAATAGTTTAACAAATCAGTTACAGATAGTCCTCCACGTACAACAGTTCATTTAGTGACCATTCAAAGTTACAATGGCACTGAAAAAAGTGCCTTATGAACATTTTTCACAGTAACGACTTTTGTAGCATCTCCATGATCATGTGATCAAAATTCAGATGCTTGGCAACTGATTCATATTTATGACCGTTGCTGTGTCCCAAGGTCATGTGATGACTTTTTGTGATCTTCTGACATGTAAAATCAATGGGGAAGCCAGATTCACTTAACAACCGGGTTACTAACTTATCAATTGCAATGATTGATTTAACAACCGAGGCAAGAAAGGTCATAACATGGGGCAAAACTCACTTAACAAATATCTCACTTAACAACAGAAATTGTGGGCTCAATTGTGATCATAAGTCGAGAACTACCTGTATTTGGAGGAGAGAGGCAGAGCTGGCCTACCAGTGGGCAGAATGAAACAATCATTTATAGACCAGAATGGACAGCAGATTAAGTCAAGAAGCTCTCTTTCCATCATCACACAATTTCATCACATAGTATTCACTGCATCTATGATACAGGTAGTTCTTGACTTAACGGCAGTTGAGCCCAAAATTTCTGTTGCTAAGTGAGACAGTTGTTAAGCGAGTTTTGCCCATTTTACAACCTTTCTTGCCACAGTTATTAAGTGAAGCACTGCACCTGTTAAGTTAGTAATATGGTTGTAAAGTGAATCCAGCTTCCCTATTGGCTTTTCTTGTCAGAAGACTGCAAAAAGTGATTACATGACCTAGGAACACTGCAACCATCATAACTATGCACCAGTTGCCAAGCATCCAAATTTTGGTCACATGACCATGGGGATGCTGTAACGGTCATGTGAAAAATGTTCATAAATCCTTTTTTCCAGTGCATTAGTAACTTCAACTAATCACTAAACAAATGGTTGTAAGTCAAGGGCTACCAGTACATAGTTTCCTAACTGCCTTGATGCTCCTGGCTGCTGCTAACATACATTGTCCTGATGGTGTTTTTGGTTGCTGTGATCATGTCACAGAGTATTGGCTGAGAGGCAGTAATAAGGTGGCTGGCTAACCATAGTCAGGCAGGCAGTGCTACTGCAGCCGTGAAATGGGTGCACTGGAGGGAGTGTGCAAAGGGAAGGATGAATCTTCCTTTGGACTCAATTGCTAATGTTTCTTCAGCAATCCTTATGCTGAAGAGACCTCTCTCTTGCTAAGCAACCATTCATAGAATGTTCTAACTCTGAATGTTCCAAATAGATGGAACCACTCCAACTCTATGATGCTTTATACTTCCAAACAGGATAAATGTAAGCTGTGATAAAATGACTACAAAGGAGGATGTTTTGATAGCTATGTGTGCCTGACTGCGTGCTTAGGCAGACTATCCATCAAGCAGTCTCTCTGCAAAGTTTCTATCCGAAATGATATCTGAGTTATTTACCCATTCCCTAACCCATATTTAAAATAGCATAGACTGTCAACAATTATGAATTATACGCACACACACAAACTTAGGAAAGAAATATTGAAAACTTAAGAGTAGGATATATATTTTTTTAATTATGGTCACTGTCCTGTCCAGAAGTGCAAAACAGAAACAGTTTAAAAATAAAAACATAAAATATTACAAGTGGTGCTGGGTTCATCGGTGGACAAAGTCAATCTAATTTTACAAGCAGATGTAATAGCATTGTAATGTTGGGATTTGACAGCAGATAAATGTCCTACCTGAACGGGAAAGGAAAGAGAGGAAAAATGGTCTTAAATTTGCTCGATAGTTAATACCTTGACTGTAAACTTACCAGAATACATATGATTGGAGAAGTCTTCTCATACTAAAGTGAAAAATGACATGTGGATTTAAATTGCAGAAATTATTTCTGAATCTCTCTCTGATCGTAGAAATTAGCAGCTGCATATTTTATGCAAATCTTTACCTTTTGACCTCTTTTTGAGTGAGACATAGTCACTCTATTGTAGTGTTTCCCAACCTCAGTCGCCTGAAGATGTGTGGACTTCAGCTTCCAGAATTCCCCAATCCATGGCTCTATTGAAAGGCATTGTAACATCTATATTTTCACTACCTGTTCAAATTTAGCAATCAGCGATGGGCCCTGGAAGGCCTTTCAAGAGAACTTACGCGAGACTTTCATTTGGTAATACTGTATGTGTGCTATTCTTCGAGCTCAGAATTCCTAGAAACGTCTTTCTGAATGGAAATAATTTGATCAGCAATACTTTCATAATTGTAAGGTGACCAACTTTTTTATAATGAGGACACAAATAAATTGAGAAAAAAAATCGTAAATAAAAGAAACATTTTATTCATTGCAACAATGAGTCTAATGCGTGTGTGTGTGCCGTGTTGTGTTTCGATAAGAAGTAAACAAAGCCACTTGTGCGTGGCGCACTCTTGCGCACGGCGCACTCTCTCACAACAATTCTCTTGTGCAGAGCACATGCATCTCATAATTGCATCTCGCTGCACTGTACCGAGCCTTGATGAATCGTCATGTCAAATACAAATACGTCACATCACACTCAACGGATCGGATCGGCATCAATCGAATACGGAGATTTACAGTTTAGTCTTCAAATATCGAAAAGGAGGACATTTCAAGAGAGGACAGAACTTACAAAAGAAGGACTGTCCTCCCTAAAGGAGGATGATTAGTCACCTTAATAATTGGGGCCTCTCAAATGATTTGTTAAACTAAACTCGTGTGTGTGTGTGTGTGTGTGTGTGTGTGTGTGTGTGTGTGTGTGTGTGTGTATGTATCTTTCTTCCTTTTTCGTAGGCTTTTATGTGCATATTCTTTCTAGCCAGGTTTTACCTACGTAAACTTAGTTGTTCTACAGCCCTAGGTTCTGTGAAATCTCATTCACAAGTTTCTGGGCCTTTTTTCTGCTGACAAACTGCAACTCTGTGTTGCTCTCTGGGAGACAGAGAGTTGCAGTTTGTCAGCAGAAAAAAGGCCCAGAAACTTGTGAATGGAGATTTCACAGAACCTAGGGCTGTAGAACAACTAAGTTTACGTAGGTAAAACCTGGCTAGAAAGAATATGCATGATATATATATATATATCTTTATTTCTTTATCAGCAAAATATAAATTTGATATATATATATATAAACTGTTTTAACCTTCTTGCAAAGAGTAATTAAAGATTTAATTATGTAGTTTTATAACTGCATATTTTTTCAATAGTACGTTATTTCATAACAAGCAGTATGGCAATAGGGATAAACAAAATGCCAATTACTTGTGTATCTAGAAAACAAATTAGGTCAACAATACTTGGCCAGTAAACGTAAGTGAAGTTATATATAAGGACACCAAGGAACAACAAACATTTGCGTCATGAAAGAACCGGAATCTCAGTGTGATTGAAACCATAAAAGAGAATTTCAAGGCTGATAACTATTTATTAACCCTCAAATAAAAGTGAAGCAGTCCTATAGAATTAAAGATGTTGCATTTCAAACAGATCGTGATATCTACATGTTTAGTTCGTTTTATCGAGTTGAAGTCACTGGGAGATAAAAAGACTACAAAGCAAATTGGCAACATAATTTAATATACAAAATCTTATATACTAATATACTGCAATGAATAAATCCTTGATTAAAATTGCAATTCATTAAAATAGACCAAATGCAGAATAAAAAAAATCATTAATAAGGGAAATTCATTGGCAGAGTCAGCAGAAAAAAATAAAAAGGGCTATGGATAATTTTTGGCAATATGTAAGGATAGTCCCAGATTTTAGGACCACCACTGAATCAGTTAGGTTTAAGCAACATTCTGATTCTCCTTCAGATAACCTCATGGAAGAGAATATTTGTAGATCAGGTTGAACTGTGCACAATATTATTTAATTAGATAAATGAAACATATGCATAAAAATAGAGACAAAAAATAAAAATAGAGACCAAAAAAAGAGAGAAACATCTGCAAAAAGAACAACAACCAAGCTCAGAGAGCATCAAATACCCCTCAGATAATCTAATTCCATGTCCCATAGAGTTTTAATAGGTAATATCGAGTTAGTAATCTGAACCACTCCCTACCTCACCTCACACTCTTTTTCTGATTGATGCAGGAAAGTTCTGAATGCCTCCATTCTGTAAAGGGTTTAATTGTTTTGAATGGATTTAATACCTTTGTTGTGCAGCAGTTGTAATTTTAGACAAGGGAAGACCCATACAAACCATGGTACATTAATCAAACTTGGTCGTTATTAGGCCGCGGTGGTTTTTAGGAGAGCATCTTATTGGCAAATCCTGATATAAAGAATTATATGATTCTTATATAATTAAGGATATTTGTAATTCTGTGTGGATGCAGCTTTATAACTTGCTCATACTCTCCAATCCTGAAAGAGAAAGTTAGGGTGATTAGAACTGTTCTGATTTTTAATGACCTCTAATCAGTGGTGGGTTGCTACCAGTTCGCCCTGAATTGGGCGAACTGGTAGCGGTGATGGGAGGCTCCGCCCAACCGCCCGGATGTTTCTGTGCATGCGCAGAAGCGTCGTGCAAGCGCACGCGAGCCCACGAGCGAACCAGTAGCAATGGGTTTTGAAACCCACTACTGCCTCTAATGGTGTGGGAACAAGGATGAAAAATTAACATTCTTTTCAAAAAGGTGCAGCAGGATAGAAACAATAAAGTTTTTCAGAAAACTGAAAGAAATCTAAGGGCTTTTTGACTTACATGAGTTGCTGATCTCCAGCTAGAGCGCCCTTTTGATTTTAAATGATAACAAACTTAACCTTAAGCACAAAATAGTGCTTCAAGATGTAAATGTAATGCTAAAGTACAGAACCAGCCTAAATATGGAATTTAATTTTATTAAAACTGCTGGTTTTTTCCCTTGCCTTATAGTGAACGTAGAACATACAAGGTTGCATGTATTTTTGAAACCTAAAAACAAGAAACCAGAACTAAACCAAGAAAAAATATTCCTGGGTTTGGGTATAAAGGTACAAAAAGGAAATGGTTTTGTGGGTAGCTAATAACAGATAGTTGATAAACACTTCTAGACAGACAGGAAGGAGTAGTGTTAGCTTGCTGTACAGAAAAGAAAACAGCAACAGGGAAGTTGAAACTGGTGCAGAGTTAGCCAAGAATTGAATAACTATATGAATTCTGCTGTATGTCCTTCAGATTTACTGTATTATCTTCCTCCACAAGGTCAAAGCGGTTTATTCAGGGGGATCTCCCTCAATAACAGGTAAGATTAGCTGAGACAATGACCTATCTTGGCTGAAGCTAAGCCTGGATCTCCTCAGGCCTAATTCAACATTTTTAATCACTGTATGTTATTAGTAGTAACTTCTCTCTCAGATTGTGACTTACTGTTGCCTAAGAAGTTTGCATTGTTGTTGTGTTCTGTTTTGCCTATACAATAGCTTGCTACTTGTATCACATGCCACTGTGACAGTTTTGGAAAAGTTCAGCACACACATATACAAGTAGTCCTCGACTTACAACAGTTCATTTAGTGACTGTTCAAAGTTACAACGGCACTGAAAAATGTGACTTATGGCCATTATTTCATAGTAACGACCTTTGCAACATGGTGACGTGATCAAAATTCGAGCACTTGGCAACTGGTTCATATTTATGGCCTTTGCGGTGTCCCAGGGTCATGTGATCGCCTTTTGCGACCTTCAGACAAGCAAAGTCAATGGGGAAGCCAGATTCACTTATCAAGCCAGGTTACTAACTTCTCAACTGCAGTGATTCACTTAACAACTGTGGCAAGAAAAGTCATAAGATGAGGCAAAACTCACGTAACAAATGTCTCACTTAAATATGGAAATTTTGGGCTCAATTGTGGTCATAGGTTAAAGCCCCAGTTCTCAAAACATAGTTAACTAGTTCATAGTGAGTTACCGTATTTTTCAGAGTATAAAATGCACCGGAGTATAAGACGCACCTACCTTTTGGTGAGGAAAAGAAGAAAAAGAAATCTCCCTCTGCCTCTCAGCAATTTTGCCTCGTTGCAGCAAACAGCCTGCTTTACTTTCATTTTCGTTTTCAGCATAGCTTGATTAGCACAAGGGGAAAAAAAATCTGCTCCAGCAATTTACCTCTTTGCAGCAAGCAGCAGAGCCCTGCGCAAAACAGCTGAGAGCAAATCAGCTGAGAGTCGGGAGGCCGATCCAATCAACTTGTGCTAATTAGGCTGTGCTGAAGCTGAAAGGAGCTGTTTTTCCTTGCTGTTTGCTTACAAGGAGGTAACTGATGCAAGGCAGAGGCCAAAGGGTGGGGGACAGTGGGTCGGCGGGGCTACATTCAGTGTATAAGATGCACCTACATTTTCATCCCCTTTTAGGGGGGAAAAAGGTGCATCTTATACTCCGAAAAATACAGTAGCTGTTGTCATCTATACAGTATAATAACCCAATTTGCAGTTGGGAAGTTTAGAGTTAATTAGTATTAAACCCAAATAGTTCCAGAGCTGCCTTGGGATAAACTAATGATGAGGTTGACAGAAGATTTAACCTTCCCTTCCTGATGCTGGCAGAGCAAAAAAAAGTGCTCTGCAGTTGCCCTGCAGAGAAGTTCTCCAGAACTTCGTAGCTCTCTGTTTTACTTTTCACCTCTTGCCACAACTACAGCTGTGGGGAAGCAGCCTCTCAGCTCTGCTCACAAAGGTGTCAATTACATTGCATTAAATCTTGCATTGTTTTTCTTCTAATGCCACTGAAAGAAAGAATATCATTCATGACTCTCTGGCAGAAAACCTTTGCCTTCAGCAGTGCTTTTACAATGTACTGCTGTATGGATGCCTATATGCAATGTTTTCTGCCCTGCGGCAGTGGTGGGTTTCCATTACTTTTGCTACTGATTCGCTCACACATGTACGCTCGCTTCGCTCTCTCGCGCGACACTTCTGCGCACGCGCAGAGCGTACTTGATGGCGGATGGGCGGATGGGCGGAGCCTCCCACTGCCATTGCTACCAGTTAGTCCGAACTGGGGCAAACCGGTAGCAACCTACCACTGCTCTGCAGGTATAATAAATAAAACAGTCAATAGGAAAGCAAGTAACTCTGCTGGTGTCAACAAACATGCTTCAAAATAGCTGCAAGGATTTTTGTCGTTGTGATTTGACAATTACATTTTTTGGAAAAGTACTTCTATCTTTCCATTTAGAAAAAATGTTTAGAAAAACTTGGAATGTTAACATATTAGTGTTCTGGTGCCATCCGCTGTCGAAACATGGAAACTGCATTTTTCTGTAATGCCACCTTCAGCTGCTTGTACATTGGGTAGAAATGAAAGTGGCTTAAGAAATGCTTTCCCAGATTTCAGCCCCTTGCAATAGAGTCTACAAGGCAGGCATGGTCAAAAAAGTCAAAATGGCAGCCTCGAGCCATGATTGAAGCCCTACCTTTTTGAATGTGTGTCACTGTTTTATACATACGTGTGTAAACTACTAAGTTAATTCTTGAGGATGCACCTTCATGTTGGCCACACTAGTGAACAAGTGTTAATTGTCCAGATGGCAATTAACCTGGCCTCCAATTAATCAGTTTGTTTTGTTTTGGAGCCTTGAAATCAGTCTTGATTATTAACATGTGCCTGGAGAAGCCTCTGCATTTTTCTTGGCAATATTTTTACAAGTGCCCTTGCCTTCTTTTTAGGGCTGAGTCATTCTTCAGGCTTTGCACCTAAAGTAGGACTAGAAGTTGAACCCACTGTCTTCTGGTTTTCAGATCAGTCCTTTAACTATTAATGTATCAAACTACCGGTAGCTCTTATTTGGCAGGAAACTAAGTACCCACTATGATAATGGCTTTTGAGGACTGGTTGAGGGGGAAAAGGCCAATACTATAGTTTGACATCTTTTTCTTATTTGGCTGAGAAGGGGAAACTTGTCAAACTGTTGTTAATTTTTTAAAAAAGCCTTTCTCTGCCGAATCTGATTTAAACTAAAGGACACCAACTCACGAGGCTGATTGCTTTGTTTCTTTCAATCTCATTTCTCCAATGGATCACAAATCAATACATACAAAACAAAACACAAAACAAACACCACAAATATTATATTAGTTAATAGTTAATAACACTGATCACATCGAAAGCAGAACAGAGATGTAAAAGCCTGTTAACAAAGCCCTGAACCTCTAAATTATGCTTCTTTTTGGAGATTTAACTACTTCCCCATTTCATTCATTTTTCAGGAAGCTCTCTCTCTCTCTCTCTCTCTCTCTCTCCCTCTCTCTCTCTCTCTCTCTCTCTCTCTCTCTCTCTGTGTGTGTGTGTGTGTGTGTGTATGTGTGTGTATTTCTACTGTTTTCAGGGCAAAGGCAAGGGCAAAGTCTGTCGTGGGTGGGTTTTTTCCAATACTCAGCTGATCCATTGATTGTAACAGAAATTAATAGACTGGTCCACTGACAAACCTCTCATTCACACATACTTGCTGAACTAACTACCATTCCATCTGAACAGATTTTGATCTTGTTTTGTTGCAACCAATTCTTACACCATCCCGACCTTGGATAAGGAGTCCCACAATCTCCTGTTTAACTCTGGGTGGAATCATATAACCAGATATCATCAGCATATTGATGATGTCAAATATAAATGCCTTACTCATGCCAGGGGTCAACAGGGACACAGTAGTGCAGGGGTTAACATCAACGCCCACTTGGTCAGCTCCACCCACAGACCACTCCTTACCAGAGTCTCCGCCCACAGGTATAAAAAGTAGACACACTCTTCCCCGTTCCTCACTTCCAGATGCAGTTATGTGATGTAATGATGAACCTGTAAATAAAAGAGACTTGATCAATCAATTGACTCATGTCTGTTATTGGGCCTGATCCATGGATCCTGTAATAAATATGGTAGCAGAGGATGGTTTGAGGGCCCAATAACCTCCAAACCCACAACGAGGACACATCACTGCCTACGAGATGGCGACTTCTCCGAAACAACGGGATGGCAACCCAGCGGGATCGCCAGGGAAGGCAGAAACCACGACAGACCCTAAAGCCACTGCAACGGAGGAAAGAGGGGAGACCAAGAAAGGAAAAATAACAGACCCTGGTGACCGGGAGGAAGAAAGACTGCGGCTCGACGTCCTACGACTGCTGAAGGAGCGAGCCAGCGACAAGAACCTCCTCACGGGCCTGCGAAGCTTCATAATGGACCGCGAGGTGGCAAGGAGCGAGGAAGACTCGGATCCGGAGCTCGAAGAGCTGGACTCGGTGAGTGGATCGCCCCAAAACGACCCCACGGCAGTCACCGAGCCCCACAGCCCCGCTCAAAATTCAAAACGGCGGCCATCTTTGACCACATGGTCGGACAAGATGGCCGACCCCCACCCAATCGGAAGCCGGAATTTAAAATGGCCGGCGCGCGAAAAATGCCCGACCCTAAGCGGCGATGAAAGCGACTGGGGTGAGGGGGCAAAGTCCGATTCGGACCACGGATACATCCCAACCGAGCGGCAAGTCGACAAGGCCATGAAGACCCTTGCCGCCGCCTTCGGCCCAGGCCTCAAAGTCTCTAGAGGGGAACCGGAAGGACCCAAGCGAAAGGGAAAGCGAGGAGAGGGGCACCGGAACACCCACTCGAGGGTCGAGGATGCCCACGCCAGCGTACCAACCTCCCTGCGCATCTCAAGGACGCCGCGCCACCGATCGCCCAGGCCGCGCACCCCAGAACGCAGGGAGGCAGCTACTTACTTTCGTCACCGAGACTCCAACGCCATCAGGATCTTCATCCCGAAGAAGCCGCTGCAAGCCAACACCTTCCGGAGCACACCTGGACCCCCAAGACCGAAGCCAAGGCCTACCCGACCGATAGAGACCTCTACGCCGGAGCTGCGATGAACAGGTCCTTCCACGACGACGGCAGAGCAGAAATGGACTTCGCGCATGCGCTGTTTCGCCTAGAGGAAGAAAAAAGAAAAAAACTGCAGAGAGGGACTTTTAAACTACCGGCAAGCGTTCCCATGCCGTATTGCTGTTATAGACACATAAAGAACCATGGACAGCAGCCTGCAGTAAGTAATTTTGCAAATAATGCTGGGAACTTACCAAGTGACTTTCCAAAGTTGAGGATGGATGGGGGCAATATCCTAGAGTGGTCACAGCAGCTTCAGGTGGTGTTCCTAAAAGAAAACATGTCACATTTTATTAATGACCCCCCAGAGAGACCATGGACTTTAGAGTTGGACTGTGTGCACCATAGGGCATTTTACCTTTTAATTTCTAGCATATCTCCCACAATTTACCACAGCATTGGTCACAATCTCACTGTGTCGGAAATCATACAAAAAATGTTTGGGTTATTTTACAGTGAAAGTGTGGCAACCACCACCCAGATTTCCAAAGATTTCTTCTCTGCTAGAGTCAAACCAGGGACCCCCATAAGCGAGCACCTGGTGTCCCTAAATGCTACCAGGGCAGAACTTCACCTTAGGGGGGAGGTCATATCAGATCAGATCATGAAGAGTGTAATAATTAACTCTTTAGATCACTCATGGGACAGTTTCTTAGCACACTTAGACACCGTTAGTCTAGGCCTACTGTCCATTGAGAAGCTGTCCAACAAACTGATCGCTGAAGACAATTTGAAAAGGAGCCACTCTGGCTCCTCCAGGGAACATAAACACGAAAAGAAAGTAGCCTTTCAAGACAGACAGCATAGCGCAACAGAGTGCTATAGCTGCGGGTCAAGGGGACATCTCAAGAGAGACTGCCCCAAGAACTACAGAGAGAGGAGCAGACCAGAACATAGGTTCAGACAGACAGAGAGACACACTTCTGAGGAGAGATACAGATGCAGAGACTCACCCAACCCCAGAGATAGGAGGGGAAACAGAGATAGCTCACGTGACAGCAGAACAGGATAGAGGAGCGCACTCACTCAACATGTCAGGGTAGGGAGGCCAACTCTTGGCTTCTGGACTCTGGGGCCTCCAACCATACAGCCTTTAACCAAAAACTGCTCTCCTCATTCACAGAGGAGAACTTTTCAATCAAGGTTGCAAACCAAAGCGAGGTTAAGGTAACAGGCAAGGGGGTGGTTACGCTACCAGGCATAGGGAAAATAGAGGGGGTACTACTGGTCCCGGAGATACCCCACAACATATTGGCCGCATTAAAACTCAGTGAAGAATCAGGGATTAAGGTAACCTTCGCAGAAGGGAAGGCTCACGTTAGCAAGGGTAGAGAGGATGTAGGGAGAGTGACAGTCAAGCAAGGGCTACCATACATAACATTCTATGAGAGTAGCACACCCAGCATATACACCAACTCAGAATGCGCGAGAGACACTAACCAGGACAAAGCTGAGGAAGAACAGGTGAATGAGGGAGAGACGGAGAGCGAGGAGAACATATCACATGAAACACACACCACCAAACACACCCAGAGAAGGCCATCGATAGGCAAGCTCATGCACGAGGACTGTGCTCACCTACTACACCGGAAACTAGGGCACGCCAGTTTCCCCGTAGTCCAAAAAATGGCCAACTGTACCGAGGGCTTCAAAATAAAGAGTTGTGAAAATTACCTCGAGTGCTCGGTGTGCAAATGTTCTAAATTAAAGGTCAAGCCCAGACCTAAGAAATCCACACGCACCGCCAAACAGGTATTCAATTTAGTCCACATGGATCTGGTGGGGCCCCTAAGGCCATCCATCAAATACAAGAAAAGGTACTTTCTCACCATCGTAGATGATTATAGTCGTTATGGCTTCGTCTATACTCTAAAACGAAAGGATGAGGCTTTCCAAAAATTCAAAGAGTTCTACAAAAGGGTAGAGACCCAAAACAACACCCAAATCAAACAAATCATGACAGACAGAGGGTCTGAGTTCCTGTCAAAGGATTTCTCCCATTGGCTCAGATCCAAAGGCGTGCTTCACTTTACGTCGTCCCCGTTCTCGGACTTCCAGAACGGTGCCGCAAAACGATGGAATTCCACGCTACAGACCATGGTCAGGTGCGCCTTAGAGGACGTGGGAATTGGTCAACACTTTTGGTCTGAGGCCTTAGTTTACTCAAACTACACACTCAACAGAACCTGGTCCCGTGTAATAGACAAGACGCCATATGAACTCATGTACAACAAAAAACCACAGATAGCACACCTACATGTATTCGGCGTAACCGCTGATGTCCATATACCCAAACAGCTGCGCAGGAAGGGGGACAAAGTATCCAGAAGACTGAGATTTATGGGATACGAGCCAGGTACCAAGGGGTTCAGATTTGTGGACAATAACGACAGATTCGTGATCTCTAGGACAGCAGTATTCCATGAGCAAGCTAACTGGTCCAGGATACACCTCAACAAAGTATCCACCAGGCAGGAGACTAGACTAGACAAGCAAGCGCAAGACAAACATGAAACGACAGATAGACAGGATAGGAAGGAACACAAACCCAAGCGCCAAGGCATCAAGGTTGAGGAATGGAAAGGGAATCACCCCAAGATAAGTGTAGACTCACTAACGCAAAAGGAAGCCAGGTACTTACATGACACCGAACAAACCATAGATAGGCCAGTCAGAACAACCAGGAACCAATTACCCAGAAGGTTAAATGACTACGTGATGCACATACACACGAACCACATCACACCCAACTCATATGAAGAAGTATTGAGACTACCTCAAGAGGAGAGGTCGAAATGGGAATCAGCCATGGCCAAGGAAATGGACAGTCTGAGAGAGCTAGAGGTTTACACCCCAGCCGAGGTCCCAGAGGGCAAAAATACGATAGGTACCAGGTAGATCTTCAAAATCAAGAACCTAGAAGGCGGTCAAAACCTGTACAAGGCTAGGCTGGTTGCCCAGGGATTTGCCCAGAGGTTCCCAGAAGACTACACTGACACTTACTCGCCTACCATAAGGAATGAAAGTGTCAAGAGTGCCCTGGTCATCGCCTCCCTGCTAGGACTAGAGGTACATCAGTTCGACGTGCAGACAGCTTACCTGCACGCCAACCTAGATAAGGAAATATACGTTAGGGCACCACATAGTAAAGAGACCAACAGGGGGGACACCTGGCTACTTCACAAAAGCCTATATGGACTGAAACAATCCGGCAAACGCTGGTATGAATGCCTAGTTGAGGTCCTGAAGTCAATGGGATTTACTGCAACCATAGCCGACAACTGTTTTTTCACTAGGAGAGAGGGGGATTCACTAGAATACATCCTAGTCTACGTGGATGACATACTTTACATCAGTAAACATGAAGAGAACCGTAACGCCTTCGCCAGTAAACTAAGTGAACACTTCACATTAAAATATCTAGGGAAAATAAACAGATACCTAGGCGTGCAAGTCAACGAAACCCCCAAGGGTTTTCAACTGTCCCAGAAAGAAAAGATGGAAGAAATACTGCACAAATGCAACATGGCAGATGCCAAGGGGTGTGAATCACCCATGCAGCCGGACTTCCTAAAAAATACGCATGGTGAATCACCCGAATTTGAAGACAACACTCTGTACAGGTCAGTCATAGGCTCCCTTTTATATATCGCCAACTGGACTAGGCCAGACATTGCATTATCAGTTAATCTATTGTCTAGGCACGTAGGCAAACCTACCATGTACCACTGGGACGCTGTAAAGAGGGTACTGAGGTATCTGAAGCAAAGTGCCGATGCATGCCTAGTCCTAGAACCAGAACCGTCCAACGAGCCCGTCCTCTCCTGCTATGCTGATGCTGACTGGGCCGGGGACACCAAAAGCCGGAAAAGCATATCAGGATACATATTCTACTTGAACAATAGCCCGGTGCATTGGTACACAGGTAAACAAAACTTGGTGGCCACTTCAACCACAGAGGCAGAGTATATATGCCTATCCAAGGCCACAAACAACCTCATCTGGTTCGATGACCTCCTCGCCAGTGTGTGGTGCGAACCAGCATATCCGATAAACATCTACGAAGACAACAAGGCCGCCATAGAAATCTCCATGGCCGACGCCGTAGGACAGAGATCAAGGCATATTGACATAAAGTACAAGCATGTGAGGCAGCTCTCCAAAATCGGGTTCGTAAAGGCCATACACTGTGACACAGAAGAACAGACTGCAGACATACTCACAAAACCACTACAGGGCAGGCAACACTCACACCTGGTATCCAAACTCAATATCCGCCCTTGGGCAACACTTAAACAGCCAGATCCACAGCCACAGGTCAGGCATTTAGAGGGGGATTTGTCAAATATAAATGCCTTACTCATGCCAGGGGTCAACAGGGACACAGTAGTGCAGGGGTTAACATCAACGCCCACTTGGTCAGCTCCACCCACAGACCACTCCTTACCTGAGTCTCCGCCCACAGGTATAAAAAGTAGACACACTCTTCCCCGTTCCTCACTTCCAGATGCAGTATGTGATGTAATGATGAACCTGTAAATAAAAGAGACTTGATCAATCAATTGACTCATGTCTGTTATTGGGCCTGATCCATGGATCCTGTAACAGATGATGCCTCATCCTGTAATGATAGGCGGCTTTCCCCCAGATTATTGCCATTTTATGTACTGTATATTTCTGATCTTGAGATGATCCATTGATAACGCAGCCAAAATGAGCTCTTGCACACATGTCAAGTACACATGTATATTTGTGTGTGCCCACACACACTTCTCAAATCACCCAATGAGGATTAATCATGCTTAATAGCACAGAAAGATGATTGCCCCATTTTTTTCATCTTGAAATATTCAGTCAAATGTTGGAATGAATACTGTGAAAGAGTATGAATGAATGTTTAAAGCAGGCCGAGAGAGCATTCCAAATAGGAATGTTTTATTATCAAAGGTTCTAAGAGCAAACACCTAACTTTATGTAATTCCTAACTAAGACAAAATAGTACCATCCACGAACAACACATGCTGTACATTTGGAGACACACAAACCACTGATTTGTGATTAGATTTTGCTTGCATAGTCCTGTGAAGGTGTGGGATCTGCACAAATAGATTGCCTGTGATCCAGTTTTCCATCCGTGTGATATTACTGTCTTTTAAATCCCTTTGATTTACCAAATGCGAAGAAGAACTGAGTGAATGTCCATCTTCATAATCAAGAACCAACACTATTCTAATATCTTAAGGAGAAGTAGGCAGATGGTACATATACTAATGACAATCAGTATCTAAAAGTGGCTATACTATCAGTGTTTCATCTAGGAGCTTCCTCTATTACACAGAGGGATCAATAATAACTCTTGCAATCCATGAAGCAATCATAATGAAATAGGCATCACTAATCCTGCAATTTTGCAATAATATGTTTTGTGATGGTTTGTATGTTGAAGAAAGCTTAATGCAGAATGGGGAAAAAATAAGTTTTCATCAATGGTGTTTGCTAGTGTATAGTATATATACAGATTTATAGCTAATGCCAGTTTGTTCCGGGGTATTGATTCTGCTTTCAGATGCCCTTATAAGAATTTATTCTGTCATGACTACATCAATGTGGCATAAAACAAAAGAGTCAAAATAAATGCCCACATGCTCACTATTCTTTAGTATTAAACCACTTTACACATTCTGGTTATTTCTTGGACATGGCTAGGTAAAATTTAAAGTGGTTTAATACCACTTTACACATTCTGGTTATTTCTTGGACATGGCTAGGTAAAATTTAATGGAGTCTCCAAGTGCTGTTCAATTAAATTGTCACAAGCTACACTACTCCAATGTTATGGAATATGTTGAAAGGAAAATCAGCTATGGTTAATACAGATTTTTCAGAGTGTATTTCATATTCACATAAAATGGATTTAGGTTGCATGAATCTTTATAACTGAAGACTATAATCTTGCTTCAAACAGCTACATGTGAATTGTCCTTTCTAATGGGATAAACAGTAAAGTATTAAAAGTGTACAGGTAACTAAATTAACAGTATTTAGTATGTTTTTGTTGAGATGTAAATTAAAGTTTTGTCTTCGTTTTTGATCACTTCTTGAGCATGCCTCCCAATATTCCAGAAGTATAAAAAGTTCTCAGCTCCCAATAGGCTGCAGAATTCCACCTTCATTCCGTAGTATTCCAGTTTAAATTTATTTAATCTCTGTTTATTTTAATATTTAATGTTTTAATGCTTTGTACCTATAGTTTTTATGATGTTTGTAAGCTGCCCAGAGTTGCTTGACAGTGAGATGGACAGCATATAAATCAAATAGACAAATAGACAAAAAAACAACAGCAAGCAAATAAAAATCTTGCCTTATAAAGATATTTATTTCTCTTGACTATTTCTCCTTGTTGCTGGTTACAGCATTCTAATATCACTTCCTGGGTTTTTTGAGTACACATTGTTCAAAATTGTTCTTTCTCATAAAAGCACTTTGGGTTCCCTTCTAATAAATTTTTGATGATGGATTGTGTGCCCTCACTTCTAGTGGCTCATGGACATACCTTTTCCAAGATGGTCTTTCCCCAACCTGGTCTTTCAAGTTTTTCAATGCCACTGTAACTGAGTCCACACACCTTGCTAATTATTAGTTGACTCATTTTCTCTTCCCTTCCACCTTTCCCAATATCATAGAGTTCTCTATAGAAATGTGGATAATGTGTCCAAAATATGATATGTTGAGCCAGATAATTTGTGCCTCGGTAGGTATTGTAGATATTGAGTTAGACATTTGCAACATTAAAATTCACTATGGCTCAATGCATCATCTGATAATCTTTGACATGTGTGTAATGCTTCTGCTTTGAAGTTATATGCAATGCCAATTTGAGTCTTCCCTATCTGCAACTCATTGTCTTCTAATGAGCCAAAGCCTGGGACAAAATGTAGCTGAATTAAAAACAAAGAACAAGATGAGAAGCCTTTAAAAGAGAGAGAGAGAGCAAAACCAGAATTTTAGTCAAAAGCTTGCTTAATGACAGAGAAAATGAAAGCTTCTTTTATCATTCAATTGCTAAATCCTACCCATAGGTAACTTTAAGAGAGTAGCCTAAATAGAAATGTCTGTTTCAGTTTTTCCACACAGTATCAAGATTGCAAGGTGAATCTGCAGAAGAATACATAAATATGTTGATTTATAATTCCAATTTCATTCAAGTTAAATAAGGACTAATGTAAAAAGACATTTCCATGCCACACAGATTTGGAACCTGTTGTTGTTGTTACAGCATATTATAGTGGTTCCTCAGTACTCAACTGCTTTGAAATTCATTGAATTTGGTAACGCATTTTCATGCGAAAATTTTATCCCGGTACTCATTGTTTGTTCGGTGCACTCAATGCACAAGCTAAAATTTATCGGTGTCGGCTGCCTTTTTCCTTACGGCAAAAAATTGTGTGATACTCATCATTTTTCGGTACTCATTACACCTTCCGGAACCAATTAATGATGAGTACCAAGGTACCACTGTATGTATGTATGTATGTATGTATGTATGTATGTATGTATGTATGTATTGGTTCGATTTATATGCCACCCTTCTCCAGAGACTCAGGGCGGCTTACAATGCATTAAGCAATAGCCTTCATCCTTTTGTATATACCTGGTTAGTAGGGCTTTCGCGCCCCCTCCCCCCCAGCGATGTTCTTTTTTTATACAAAGTCAGCTTATTGCCCCCACAATCCGGTCCTCATTTTACCTACCTAGAAAGAATGGAAGGCTGAGTCAATCTTGAGCCTGGTGAGATTTGAACTTGCAGTAATTGCAGGCAGCTGGTGCTACTTAACAGCACTTTAGTCTGCTGCACCACCAAGGTTCTTTTTATGAGATTTATGAGATAGAAAAATGTAATTCATGTTAAATGAAAACACAGTGAAATACTGGACTCCACTCCACTATATATCATAAGGTCTCAACCTCACACTTCTCAAGCAATTTTCTGTTGCCCACAATATTACATAGAGGAATGAATAAGGCCCCCAGGGCACAGGACTACCCCAAAAGATGGTAAAATTGTTGCTGCCCATTTTGCGGGTATACAAATTATTAACAAGGATGGAGAAAAAAAAGAGTGTGTTGGCTTGCCTGAAGCCCAGGATAGAAAGTATCTTACTCCACTGCATATATAGCAGCAGAATGAAAGTTTACTCCAGGCATCTGACCACATTGCCCTTGTTCCTTCATCCTCTCAGGTTATCTCATGTGGAGGGGAGGCCACGTAAGTTGCAGAATTGGCAGGATCCATGGGAACAGTGTTGGGGAACAACCTGACCTTAGCTGTGTTAGGAGTAGTAAGTGGTAGGAGTTACTTTTTTTTTTGAAAAAGTTTTTTATTTTATACACAAACAAACATTTAATATATCAATCTTCCCTTCCGTGTGACCTCTTGGTGTTTTCTCCGTGACTTCATCTTTTTTTTTGTTTTGTTTTTTCTGTTTTCATTTTTATCTTTCTCCAAAAGTACAATATCTTAATTATACCATTTTTTACATAGCTATTAATTTACTTATCTATATCTCTTTTCTAACCAATGGAAAAATTGATCCCATATCTTAAAGTATTCTGAGTCCTCTCTTTCTTTAATCATCAAAGTTAATCTATTCATTACTGCACAGTCTAAAATTTTATAAATTCTCCTTCCAGAGCTATTTCCTCTGCTTTCCAATTTTGTGCAAAAACAATCCTTGCAGCTGCTATTACATGTATAATCAAATAAGTATTTTCTTTGCTAGTTTTCTCTGGAAGGATACCCAGTAGGAACAGCTCTGGTTTTAAATCAATGCGTTGTTGTGCCATTTCTTCTAACCATGTCTTAATTTTATTCCAATAGTTTTTAGCTTCTGAATATGTCCACCAAATATGATAATAAGATCCTGGTAACTGGTGACATTTCCAACATTTAGCTGATTTATCTTTAAACATTTTTGCCAGTTTCTCAGGCATTCTACATATGCCATCTGTAAAACATTTTATATTGATTCTCCTTATATCCAGTGGACATTGTTAGTTTGTAATTCCTTTCCCATAACTGTTGTCATTTATCTAAATCATTTGAGTGTCCAAAATTCTTTGCCCAAGCTATCATTGTTTCCTTTACTTGTTCTTCCTCTAACTCGATACTAAGTAAAAAATTATATTTTTTAAAATTAATTTATCCTCTGTTCCTGTGGGTATCCTATCCAACTCTGTCTTTTCTAAATAAAAACCATATAGTTTTAACATCTTTTTCATATCTTGTTTGTATTTGCATGTACATATACCAATCCATCTCAATCCCCTGTTCTTCCAATTCTTCTTTCCCCTTCAATTCCCCCTTATCTGTTAATAACTCCTTATATCTAACAATATTTCTAAAGTTAAACATATTTGAGTGTATTAAATCTTCCATTGTTGATAACCATATTGGTATTTTCACATAGTATTTATCTCTAACCTTCTCCCATGCCAATAACAATGCAACAATCTGACCTTAGCTGTGTTAGGAG